AATCAAGGGCATTCTGATGCAAGAATAAAACTACAGTGGTCTTTAAAAATGTAGATATTGCCTATAAACTGTGCTCTTTTTATTTTAGGAAAAAATCTAAAGATTTTCTTCGTAACTCAGGGAGGTTCCCATTCTTTCCAATGAGCTACTAAGCTGAAATGTGCTTCTGTATATAGCAAGTTATAAAAATAATTCCTTCCAAAGGGTAAGAACAGAATCTGCCTATTCCACACCAGCTTGCATGCCTACACCTTGCATAGGAGGCATTATACAAGGAAAGAAGAACTTGAGGCCTGTCAGAAATCATTGGACTAGAGTACCCATCATCCCTTAGCCCTAGCTATGCTAACTAGAGTTGACAGAAGTTACTGCCCAACAGTATCTAGAGGGCCATGTGTTTATGGCCCTTGCAGTAGAACCCAAGGCATTCTTGAGTAGGAGTCATTTCAAAATTGTCCCGGCTTAGGAGATAGAGGTACCAACATCACCCCTGTCACCCCACCTGACAGCTGATATGGGCAGCTGTGGGGTGGGGCAGGAGGTCTTCTGGATAGGTTTCTTTCTCCATTAATCTGTGGCACAATTGCTACAACTGCTCAGAGAAAACTAACTGCCAGCAGCTAACACAGAGAGTAGCCGTGGAGTGGGGAAGTATGCAGGTTACTACATGGAAATTTCCCATTTTTTATTTTATCCTGAAGAGAGAAAGTGTGTAAGCTCTAAAACCATTTTTGCATGCTTTTCAGGGAGATAACGCCTAAGAACACAGATTCCAAAAATGTCCATAAACAGCACAAATCTATGCACATCTAGTGCATTCAGAGGTAAATCCTGTTGAGTTCAGAGGGGCTTGCTCTCAGGTGTATACTGGATTACAGCCAACAGAGGTGCAGAAAGTTCATAAATGTAGCCACCGAAAGTGAACACACAGACGTTTGCTGGGATATCTTCTTTTGGTTAGCCCAGAAGCCAACTAACTGGATGTTATGCTACCGATTCCACAGAACTTCCAGTTAGCCAGAATGGAGCTTCGTCCTGCCAAATAATTATTGTGGAGAGGGGGAACATAGAAAGCAGGAGCAACAGAGAAAGATGGCACGTGGGGCTCTCTGGTGGGTACCCAAAGTGGAAAGCAGAAACCTTTAGCTATTTCTCTGCTGCACACCCAGTTAGTAGTCAACCAGAGGGGTGGAACTGGGGGAGGTGACTGGGCTGATTCTTGCTAGTTGCTTTTTTAGAACTCTTTCCCAGAAAGCTTCCATGGTGCCACCTGTGTCTTATCTCTTCAAATCTCTCCTCCAAGTATCCTCAGCAGCCATTAAATGCCATGTATTAGCACTTTCACTCCCATTCACTCTTTGTCCCTCCCTCCCTCCACTGAGTTTAGACTGATGGCTCTTTAGAAGATGAGATTTCTTTTGCCTACACAATTCTCATATTAACTGGCAATGTTATATCACTAAGCTCTTCTTTCTCCTTTCAGTGCCATAGCTGCAATTGTTGTTTAATTGATTTTTATACCAGTTACCACCTGCGGAACTATTTTAAAGGTGTGCAATGCTCCTTAAATGAAGTGCTCCAGATATGCCCCAATGGCCAAAGTAGAGGAAAGCTGTAGTCCAACACAATGCACGAGTTGAACATATGTAGTTCAACACATAAGAAAAGCTGCTATAATAGGGCTTTGGGTTCTGCACACCCCCAATCACTCACTGGCTTTGTCCCCAGTACTCTCCTGTATGTAGTCCCGCTGCTTAAATGAAGTGCTCCAGATATGCCCCAAGGGCCAAAGTACAGGAAAGCTGTAGTCCAACACAACTCATGTGTTGAACATACGTAGTTCAACACATAAGAAAAGATGCTATAGAGCTTCTTAGGGGAAAGCTAGGGCAGAAATCTTACAAGGATATGAACAAATAAACAGTGGTTAGGATTTAAGGGGGAATTTACATCAATATAAGTATAACTGCATAAATCATGGTAATAAAGGCCCAGTAACCCAGGAGTTGCTGCCTGCTTTCCAGGTTCCGTCCCCATCATAGCACCTGGTGGGTATGACCAGGAATGTGAGCATCAATTTATTGTAACCGCTGAAGGCCTTAGGAATGGACCTCAACAGATGGGGAACATGGACATCTGAGTGTTCAGCCTGGAGGCAGGCATTGCATCACGGCCTCTCCCAATTTGAAGAGACCCTTGTCCAGCAGGCCGAGGCAAAGAAGAAGTCACAAAAGCAGCAAAACCAGGGAGCTGGACAGGGGACAGATTGTATTTGTCTTCAGTGTGGAAGAGATTGTCACACTAGACGCTGTTCCAAGTCCTCCATACAGAGCACATTACCATAGTCTTTTGAGACTGAAGGATGCCTAACTAAGGGCTTTGGGTTTTGCCCACCACCAATCACCCATTGGCTTTGTCCCCAATACTCCCCTGTATGTAGTCCCACTTGGTTTGGTACACAATCAAGACTTCCTCAGTGGCCACACCCCATCAATCGTTCCCTGCCAGAGCTTAGAAGATTTCATTTCTAAGACTTCCACTTCCAAAATCCCAGAACTAACCTGGGTCACCAGTGTTTGAAAACTCTGGTTTCTGTCCAGGCAAAAGAGGGCCAGAGAATGCCTTGTGCTGCAGTGATTTATGGCTTAGCCATTCCTGACCAGAGATATCTTCCCATGGTAGAGGCTGCAGAAGTTCCAATACACCCTCTTTATTGCAAAAAGACAAGACCTTCAGCTTAAGTGCGTTCAGAGGTGTAAGGATGTTGGGGCTGGTGTGTCTGCCTTTCTAAATAAACACATGAAAACAAAAAGGTGTTGTGGTCTTTTTTGCTTGTTTGTTTTGTTTTTGCACCAGGATTTAGGAAAAGATCCAGAATGTGTTTTAGTAACAGCTCTCTATTCATTATCTTTTTATGTATCCAGACTTGGCTTTGGTATTATCAGCACTGGATGTGTTAATGCAAGCTGCCTCCTTAAATCTCACACCAATCAGTTCGGTTCTCATGCAGTCTTTAAGACAAGAAAATTTTTAAAAAGCACTCATAACATGCTGTGCATCTCAAGCAACTGTGGTTGATTTTTTGGGGGGGGACACATTTGTTGGTTTGGGGTACAATACTATTTCTGTGGTTGGACTACATCATAAATTATTTGCAATCTCTAGGCACTTAGCAGTTTATGGGATGGGAGGAATCTATCTTCTACATGCTATCTGAAAAGTGAACATTTTGGTCTTGTGGTCTGTTTATGTCCTCCCCGATCTTGATTCCCAGTCTAGAGCGGTAGTGAATGATGTTTCATCTCAAGAATTAGAAACGCTGTTTAAAAAGAAGGAGAAGAACATGCTGTGCTAAACTAATTACCTCATTTGTATAATCAAGAAAACTTGCCTCCGTGAATGAAATGAAATAATACATTGAGAAGTGGAAGATAAAAACGTGGGAACCTCTGAGAGCAGAAAGGGTATCAGAAACTGATTCAGATCAATGAATCAGCTACCCCGGGTAGAAATAAGTCTCTCTTACTGATTTCATGCAAGATTATTGCTTTCAGAACTCTAAGCTGAATTTTAGTTAATCAGCAAAATCTGCATATATGCGCAGATGAGAATGCTAAAGGAAACAGCATACTAAATTTTTAGATAATTAATGCACAATTCATCGTATGTTTCATGTTATATTTACATTGCTTCTAAAATGATCAGGGAGGAAAACAACCAATTCAAATTAGTCAGAATGTGTAACCAATTTATCAGATTGATCAGCCAGCCAAACCCTGAAACTTCCTGTGTCTCTATATCTGTTTACAGATTCTTTAGTTTTAAAGCAGGGAGCCTTTGAAAATGACATGTTTCTATAGACTCTCACTCCACATCACGGTGAGCTAAGAAGCTGCTGTATACTACAGAGGATGATGGATAGTGTTCCCAGTCACATCATCTCCTAGTCATGGCAGAATGGTGTTGGTTCCTAGTCCAGCTAAATCCAGAGTTTAAAAAAGATACTCTTTTGGACTACAGTTCCAAGAATCACCCAAATAGCATTTACAGCAGTGATACTGTGAAGAATTCTGGGCATTGTAGTCTGCGTTCAATGCACCGAAATGAAAAACTACTGCTTCAAAAGTTTGCTCAAAAGGTTCTCAGTGCCTTCTGGCCTTCACAGGTCTAGATCATACTTGTCTTTATTGCTCTCTACAATGTCATTTCCTATTCTATATCTATAGTCAGAATAATCTGCCTCGTCAAATGTCTCCTGTAAACAGGCAGAAGGAGCCCCTACGAAATGTGGGTATACAGGTGAAGGACTGACTGTGAATTGAAATGTTTTGAACACCCATTAGGCAAACATGAAATTTCTTAGAAGGGTGGTGTACCTGCTTGTTTTCCGATGCAGTCAATGTCTACAGCATGGTTTTCCTGGAAGGTTTTATGGGATAAACGGGTCAAGAAACTAAGCAAGAACTTAATTTTCTCTCTGTCTCTCTTTCTCAAAAAAAGGGAACAGCCCAACAAAAATCAAGAACAGAAGAACTGCCAACTCCACCCAGATACGACTTTGTCCAGTGCCACCTAGTGACCAAATTATATAATAACAATATCCACGTGTCAGTTTTGGCACTGGCTCAAAAACAACTTTTTGGCAGTCTGATTTTAACAGTACATTTCTAGCAAGTTTAAGAAGCGAATTCAGAAGACAGAAGGGCTATGTCTCCTGACAGTTGTAGAATCAAAGATTTGGGGAGGCGCCTAGTGGGGCCATGGCTAAACTGCTCATAACCCAGGTTGAGTCCCAGGTAGCCAGCTCAAGGTTCACTCAGCCTTTTCTCCTTCCAAAGTCAATAAATTGAGTACCTTGCTTATGCGGCGGGGGATAGAATCAGCCTTCTCTCCTTCCAAGGTCAGTAAATTGAGTGCTGTACCTTGCTTATGCAGCGGGGGACAGAGTGGCAATGTGTAGCCTGCATAATTAAATTGTAAACCACCCAGACAGTGCTTTGAGCACTATGGGGAAGTATATAAGTAGGATGCTTTGCTTTTTTGGTTTTTTGGGGGGAGAGGGAGTCCATCAAGTTTGGACCAGAGGTTTTAACACCCAGTTTCTTCCATGCTGCCCTACCTTGTAGTCCCTAAACCCCATCTTCCCCTTTGACTTCTTGGCCTTTCTCTAACATTCTATTCAGAATCATTTGTGCAAACCTCATCTCAACTCTTGCAATCAGGTTAAGTGAGACACAGTCTCTCCAGTGAAAATTCAAATTCAAGACGGCGCTGGTATGTTTCCCAGTATATCCCAATCTAAAGCAAACTTTCCATTCTTCCTAACAATAAGGCCATTGCACCATCTACCAGATCTGGCTCTATGATCTTCATGACCAAGAGGAAACAAGGCCTTGTTCTTAGCAAAGCCCGTCATGATAACAGTTGGCCCTAGCTCTGAGCAGGATACAGCTTTCTACTGTCCAGTGGCTGGTTGTGATTTCAAGAGATTTCTAGTGGTCCATGGAGGGGCCGGTGGGGTGGGAGAGTGCAAAAGAGAAACACAGTCATTGTGACAGTACAGAGAGCATTGCTAAGTCCAACGACTATGAACTCAGTCTTTTACACATCAAATGCCAGGGTGACGACTTCTCTGCTTTGGGCCTTAGAGACAGAACAGCCACCCCAAAGAGCATGGGATCCATCATGGCTTCAGTTAAGATTCCAGAAGCGTGTGCCACCGGCAGACTTGCTGCCCCTTGGATTCCTTCATCTCTTGCCAGTGGCTGAGCTCCTCTTCTCCGCTACTGTTCTGGCCCATGGAAAGCCAGCCAATCATCTCCTTGCGCTTGATGCTGCGCCGGTTGTAGATGGAGATCATCAGCGTGATGTCCGACAGCTGGAACAAGGCCACCTGGAAGACGAAGGTCTCTTTGTAGACGGGATTTGGCTGGCCCCGCCGGACGGACGTCTTGCAGCGTGACATCTCCTGGCCGACCGAGTTGAGAAGGCAGAGCTTTCCGTAAGTATCTGAAAATTTATGTAGGACACAAACCATTATTTTGAGTAAGAAACACGGCGCAAACGAGAGAAAGTTCACCACTGGGGTCAACTTCTTATCCCTCTCCACAGGGCTGTTTTGAGATCAAACTGGCCCCGAGGATCAGCGGTGATTCTCTTTAGGGCGATTGAAAGAATGGCATGACACAAATTGAGAGAGAAAAAAATATGAATACAATTAGTATTAATGTAACATAAATACATAATGATATCCCTACACATTGACTACCATGCACTTGATATATATGGCATGAGGATCAACCTTCAGGCTTGGCCATAAAAACTGGCAGCTTTTTCCCCTCCTGGATGAGCTATTTTATGTGTTTTGCTTTGCCTGAGGAATGCAAAATGCAAAACTTAATTTCAGGCATGAAAGCACGGGTAAGCTTAGAAGCCAAGAGAGCCTTGTCCTCCTAAAATAATTCATTGTTCTCTCATTAGTCACGTAACCAGGTTCTGAGTTTTGGCATTCTTGGGCAACTTTACGACACCTGCTGCCTTCTAAATTTTTTCAGCCCTGCAACTCCCAGGAAGCTGTAGTTCAACACCTCTGAATGGCCTCAAGTTCAGGGAAGGCTGTAGTCATGAGCAGGAATCAGATCGCTTTACACATGCGGTAAGAAGCACATGAATGCACCTCTGTGTTCAAACATGCTGAAAAGATGGAAGGACAGATCCTGAAGCTGAGGCTCCAGTACTTTGGCCATCTCATGAGAAGAAAAGAGTCCTTGGAAAAAACCTTGATGTTAGGAAGGTGTGATGGCAAGAGGAGAAGGGGACGACCGAGGATGAGATGGCTGGACAGTGTCTGCGAAGCAACCAACATGAACCTGACACAACTCCGGGAGGCAGTAGAAGACAGGAGGGCCTGGCGTGCTCTGGTCCATGGGGTCACGAAGAGTCGGACACGACTAAACGACTAAACACACAAGCTTTTTCACCCGTCCCACTATTTGAAGAAGCCATAATGACTGGAAGTCATAGCTGGCTTGATGTAGCACCGTCATCCAGCACCCTCCAAGGCTGATTCTGTTGATTCACCAAGGGTGTGATACGGCTACGTAGAAAAAGCAAACAGACAATAAAGTAAATGCAGGGAAAGGTGCAGCCATTGGTAAGCAACGTATTGAGGAAATGGAATTAGCTCCGAAGGACAGGAGCTGTTCAATCCAGTTCATTATCAGCACTCCACCAGGGCACCCACCCTTGTTTATTGGGCTCCACCTCCTGCACCGGGAAAACTTTGCTAAAAGAAAATGTACTGCCTGCTACAACATATTTCTGCTCCTCTAAAAAACGCTCTCTTTCCTTGCTTCGGATGGATGGACCACCTTGCCCTTCCTGTTCAAAGCAGTGGGCCAGGCTTTGGCAAAACCACAAGCTAAAACTGCAGGTAACTTTCCAAAGAGAGGTTAAGAAACCATCCGGTCTCACCAGCTTCCTGGGGCAAACTCACCACCTTTGCAAGGGCTAACAGTGGCCAACTAGTCAACCTTGATCAGATGATGACCTCTCCATGGCAACAGATCTCCTTTTAGCTCCTCTACCTACCAGTTATTGTTCCCTTAGAAGGGAATGGGAAATCACTTCTGAGTAGTCTATACCTAGAAAAAGAGTTGCCGTAAGTTGGAACCGACTTGACGGCCTGTAATTATTAAAGACGTACAGAAAGCCAGGCCCTAGGTACACCCTGCTATTAGAAAGAGAATGACAGTGAACTATTTATAGAGAGACCAGACGTCAAGCTGATACAGTTCAAACTAAATCATTTGCCTTTGTATTTTCACAGTCAATAGTTCCAACTTCACAAGACCATTACAGGAATGAAGAAATATTTGATTAACTAGAACAGATCAGTTTTTCTGTGAACGTGGAAGTCTGGCACGCAGGATCTGCTTTACATCTAGCCTTAAGAGTATCCTTCTTATGTTATAAATGTTCTGATAATTCATTTTTCACATCACCAGCTCAACAGGTTAACCACACACTTTGTTTATTTAAGAGGCCGTTCCTTCTTCTCTTAACCTAAATCCACACTGGCACTCCATCTTTTGTGCTTACTTCCGTATTATTGCCACTGGATTTAATTAATGAGGCTAATGTACTCCTAATACAATCACGACAGTGCAAGGCTGCAATTATCATGCAACATTAATTCTGCTCCTTCTGAAGACCCGAGAGGCCGAGCCTAGGCCTTTGTCCTCCCCTCGTTTTGGCAACGATTCCTTTTCTTCTTAATAGGTGTGCTTGTTGCATGTTGGTGTGATGCAGCCCCAGTACTGGGAAAGAAGATTTTTCTTTATAACTTAGCTTTCCTGAAAAGGAAGCAAAAAATCCCTATTCTGGTCATATCTTAGCATTAGTTCTAGATCGATAGCTTGGTCAAGTCCCCTTCCTCTCTCTTCCTTCAATCCTATCTCACAGGGTTGTTGTGAGCAAACAAACAGTAAGAGAGAACTACTAAGATCCAGATCTGGAGCTGAAGTTTTTCGGTTCAGGATCCTTGCCATCAATACCCAATGTAGAAGGCCCCCCCAGGGCGGGGCGGGGGGGAGACCCAGAATATATTCTGCATTGTTAGGAAAATGGAAAGCACACCTTCTAGCATCCAGGGGTAATCCTGCTACTTACAAGAATTTTTAGTATATTTTACATAAGTAGTAATCAGGTCTGTTTCTTTCCTTCTTTGCAGAATACTGCAGCTACACCTGCAGTCCCAACTAGTTCAGAACTGGCAATCGTTTTACTTCCTATGTATAAGCATTTCATTTGGCGCACTGCTGTCTGCAGTCAAACAATTGTTGTTACAAAAAAAACCAATATGGGACACATGCGTAACCTGTTAGCATCACAGGCCAAAGTGTGAAACAGCACAGGTAGTAGTCTTCCAAAAAAAACCTGTGTAAAGTAACATTTCCCCACTTATTTGTTAAATGTGTACCAGGCCATATAAGATGCCAAAAGCCGCTAGATGCCAACAGCAGCCCACAGCATTCCCAGTTCAAGCTCCACACCTACGCTAGGTGTCTACGCGAAGTACTCAACGGAAGAAACATAGTATTTCTATATACCAGGTGGCCTGTTAATAGCAAGGTTCCGGAAGTGGCTGCCCTTGATCAGTTCTACTGATAGCCGTCCCGTTGTAGCGTTGTGCGATAGTCCTACCAGCAACTCTGGAACCCCTCCGTGTGACAGGGACTGGTGTGAAGAAACACTGTCGCTGTGGGAGATGGCTGACAGGCTGATCTGGGAGCCTCCGCTCTGATGGTGGAGGATATTGGTCAGAAGAAAAGAGAGAGAGAGAGAGAGAGAGAGAAAAGCAAGAGAGAATGGAATCAGAAGAGGTTTCATATTTGTACAAAACACTGTAAGCTAAACACAAAATCCTAGAAGTGCATTCAATTTCCAATAACCTCAGTGTCCTGCAGTATTTCAAAGAGCATCTTTCGGCATCTTCAAAACTAAAAAGTTGCTTTTGGTGACTGGTATAAGTTTTCTTGGAAGGAGGCTGCGATCCATGAAAGCTCACGACGTATTAAATTTGCCCGTCTTTAAGGTGTCCCAAGTTCTTGCTGCTGTTGTTGTTTTGGTTGCAACGGACTAATAAAGCTACTCTCTCGCCCTATCTCTGTAAAGTAAAGATTTAGAACAATGGATGGTGGCATGTAGTTCCACAGGACAGATCTTGCTTTGTGAGATAGCTAGGAAGCTACTTCTCCATTGAGTCTTGGGGTGGATGCTTCTGCCAGAAAATAGGTCTTAGCCAGCCAAAGATCATTCCCATTGCTTTCCTTCTCACTGGAGATACCAAATTGAAGGACATGAACAATGAAAACTAAACTGAGGAGCAGAAACAATGTCATCAAAGTGAGAAGGAAAACAAAGAGAGATAATGAATTTTGTAAGCCTGCTAAAAATTTTGGACATGTGACAAAATGAAGTTAGGATGCATAAATAACAAAATATAACTGGAGATAATTCATTTTGCTGGAACTTTTTGCCCTATCCACAGGAAACCACTCCATAACAGCTTTGGAGGCCTGGCTCCACTTCAGAGAGACTTACATACAAATTGCTTCTTGGCTCCAGGACCAGCGTCACCTTCATTTCCCCCTCCTGGTTGAGGCTGTTGAGATAAAAGAACCGCTCGCCCATCATTCTCTCCTTGATCATTTTGCGCACTGAATAGAGGCGGAATCGGAGGGCGTTGTTCCTCAGCTCTTCCGGTGCCAACTTGCTGAAGCTCATTTTGTCCTTGAACACTGGATTGGGACCTCGTTGGACACTCGACTTTCCCCTTTGCTTCTTGCTGGGCATCAGGACCACACGGACCTGCCAGCTACTCACTCCGCTCCGGTCCTTATCAGGAATCTCCTTTGCTTCCAAGATGGTCACCTGCAGCTTTTGATTCAAAGGCCTATAATCAAGGATGACATCCAGGTCTCCACATTTGGAAATGGGCTCCCGGGTGCTGGGATGAGCTGGGAGGGCACTCGCTCCTTCATGTTCCTTTAAGAGAAAATGCAAAATGTGAGTCCATAGGAAGGGGAAGGGAGACAGCCACTGGTTCAGTTTGTTTTTCAAGAAAGAAAGAAATTAGTGAATGTTTGTTATTGCAGAATGCTGCCATGTTGATAGATGGGGGGTGGGTGGGATGGGGAGGTAAAGAAAAGACAAAAGGATTAAAATGAAGTCTAGCACATATTTTGGAGTTGGGAGGATGATTGTGCTGTTTTTTCTCTCTCTATAAAGCTGGAAGAACAAAGCAAGAAGGATGTGATCTGGGAAGCCAGGAATGCAAATATTATGCCCTCTCTTACCCACTCTCTCGTTTTTTTAGATAGAAAACAGGGGATATGGCATCCGTCTTTTCTCCCTGTTGTAAAATTTCTGTGGGCAAGAACGCTCATGGAAAATCACACTGGATATCTCAGAATTTTGATGGTCATTTTTTTTTTAAATAAAAGAAACACCGAGCATGGGACTGTTGTAATTCTTCAGCAGAATTCACCATCTTTCTTCAATAGAACCTGCACCTGGAAAGGGCAGGAAAAACACCAAGCTGTGCAGGATGGTTATAGAATTGTTTCCTGTGTAGGATTCACCACAAAGTACCTTAAGCTGTGCAGAATCTGGTACTCCTGCACAGAGCCACCAGTGAAAAACTAATTCTAAACAAGAGAGAGAGAAAATTTTCCATGTGTGTGGCTAGATGTGTGGGTATGGAGGGGAATGTCTCAAGAGGGATTATTGGCATGGTGGGACTTGGGAAAGAATGGGAAATTTTGTGAATGCTCACAACATTTCTATGAGAAGCCAAGAAGGTCCAAAACGCAATGGCTGGACAGGGCACAGGAGATTATACAGAGGTCTAAAAAGTGGGGAGACCAGATAAAGGAGGCAGCCGCTTAGGGAGTGAAAGTAATTATTTGGCAATGGTGGAAGCTGAAAAAAAAGGAAAGAATTGGGGAGAAAAGGGCTGTGTTTCTTCTTTCTTGCAATGTATTGGTTTTTATTTAAAAGCTGGCTAGTGCATTGGATATCTGACCTTAGAGCTAGAGGAAGAAGAGAGGAGGAGGGAAGAAGGGAAATGATTACTGTTCCAACAAGGATAGCTGTTGTTTATCGCAAATAAAGACAAGAGGTGGAATTAAACAATAAAAGAGTCTCAACAGAGAAAGATACTGTATTTGTTTAAGGCACATCTTCACGTTGGGGAACAGAAATGAAAATACATGCAGAAAACTCTTCATTAACCCACAATGGAAGCGAACACAGTATCTACACTTGATGGTCTTGACAGATGTGTTTGTGTGTATGGATGGATGGATGGATTTCATTTGTACATTGCTCCATTAGTGTGAAAGCACTATGCTGGGCAGTTTAACAACAGGTTTAAACCAACATCAAGATTAAACAAACATTTTAAAAACTCACAATATAAAAACCAGATGGCACCTAAACAGTTTACAAAAGTGGCAAGACACGAAATGAAACCAAATATCAACCCGCTTCGGTATCAAAGGCCTCCCTAAAAAGAAAAGTCTTGAGTTTTCTTCTGAATAACAAAAGGGAGACAGCCAGGTGTAGCTCCTCTGTGAGCTGATTCCCTAAGGTTGGGGCCACCATGGAGAAGGCTCTGCCTCTAGTGGAAGACTTTCGGGCCTCCCTTATATTTAAGAGTCAAAACCTTGAACCTGAACCAGGAGGCAATGGGTAACCAGTGTAGGTGGGCCAGAATTAGAGAGATAATGCTCAAATTTGATCATACCAGTCACCAGTCTGGCTGCTCCATTCTGGAACCCATGTAGTATCCGGGTCAGGTTCAAGGGGAGCCCCATGTAGAGAGCATTGCAACAGTCAATCCAAGATATGGCCAATGCTTGCACCAGTGTTCCAAGGGAACCCTCATCAAGGTAGGGGGTGGAGTTGGGCATTAAGCCGCAGCTGATCTGGACAGCCCTGCACTCTGGGAATCCCAAGAAAGAACTAGGTTATGTACTCGCTCCCTAAATGGGAGGGCAAACCATCCAGTCCAGGGATTAACCCGCCCAGCCTGCCTGAGGGGCACCCACAGGAACAAAATCTCAGTCTTGTCCGGGTTCAAATTTGAGCGTGTTAGCCCTGGTGCATTCCAATACCAAAGCTGGGAAGCGTTTGAGCATCTGGATGGCATCCACTGCTGAGGTGGAAAAAAAGAGAGATAGTGTTGTGCATCATCAGCACACCTGACTCCAATGACTCCATAGGTAAGCAAGGTTTGGGTACCTCCCTTTAAATGACACTCTTAGAGGCAATAATATTGGTGAATCTGTTCTGAATCTTTGGCTGTGTTCTGAAGGTTGTTCTTCTTAACGTTTCGCCAGTCCCTGTGGCCGGCATCTTCAGAGGACACTGTAAAGATGCCAGCCACAGAGACTGGCGAAACATTAGGAAGAACAACCTTCAGAACACGGCCAAAGAGCCCGAAAAACCCACAAAAAACATTAGATCCCGGCCGTGAAAGCCTTCGCAAATACACTGTTCAGAATCCTTCTTTCTGTTAACTTCTGTGGATGCTACCAAGTCTACTGACTTTTCCTACACTTCTACGGCAATGAAAGTACCCCATGTTATGAAATCACAGCATGGGTAGATGGACGAACGTCCAGGCGGCTGTGTCATCACCAGCATCCTTCTTACATCCCCAGCTTAATTACAGGTTTAAATGTGTGACATCAAATTAGAAGAAACATTTTCCAACAGACCCTTCTGCCCTTTTTTTGCAAAAGGTTTATTTCACGAAGCAAAAGCCAAGAGAAAGAGACAGAGACAGAGAGAGGGGGAAAGAGAGAGAATGAGGTGCTTTCAGCTTCCAGGATTTGTTTTTTTCTGTTCAATGCTGCTTTTTAATCTCGGGCTAGAAAGGGTTGCTATAGAGACCGCTCTTTTCTATTTAAACATGAGCACACAATTAAAAATAAAATAAAATTTAAAACACCCAGGAGGATACTGAAGGGAAGGCCACAGAACTGCACAGTACAAGCGCTTGATGGCTTACTAGCACTTTTTTTACTTTCTTTTACAATTTCTAAAACAACATTTGTTCTTTCCTTGTAGTTAATCGCTATTCTGTCACTTGTCAGTTGCCGTGACAATCATATATATAAAGACACGCTAGAAGTGTCCACCATAAGTAATAAATCATGAGCAAACTCCTCATTTATATAAGGAGCTAAATAGGATCACGACAACAGGAACAGTTGTTTTGTCAAGCCAATGGATCTTCATGGCCACTGAAGACCAAATCACTCTCAAATAACTTCTCCCTTGAATTGCATGGATTTGAGCATCATGGTTTTAGTTATACATGTTTTCCCTCAACCAACGAACCAACCAGCCAGCCAATAAATATTCAATAATATTCAAAAATATTCAATCAATATTGTGCTGCTATTTGTCTCCAAGAAGTGGCCTGAAAAGGGTATGTCTTTGGCTTATCTAGGGCCCTGTTGTTGGCAATGTGGTGGACCCGGGTCTGATGATGGCACCCCAGTTGGCCTGCTCTCGTGACATGGCAGATCCACATGACAGCAGGGGAGGGTCAGGTTGGGGGAAGAGGTCTCTGTGTGTGTGTGTGTGTGTTTGTGTGTGTGTTGTGAACTGCTTATTCTTATGCCCCCCTTCATTTGGGGGGCACATAAGAGATACTTGGATTTTGAACTACATAGAGGCTTGGTGCCCCTAAGCCCAGCACTGTTGGAGAAATGTACTCAGCATTACAACAGGAACACTTTGCAACAATGTGCTTTTCTGAGGAATCCTTTTCTCTAAATCAGGGGCCGTCAACCACAGGTGCCAGTCCATGGGCTTGCCGGAACTGGGCCACAGATACGGATCTCTGCTCCCCTGCACGCTCACACGGTGACCGTCTCACAGCAGGCATCATGCTTGCATGCATGCACGCAAGCATGACATGCCCCCCGCGAGCATGACATGCCCCCACGAGTATGACACGCCCCCCATGCATGAAGCTTGATTCCCCCAGCCGGCCCGTGGCCCCAAAAAGGTTGGGGACCAAATGACTGTGCCTTGGAGCAACTTGTCATGGAACCCACCAGTGGACAGGTGACTCTGGATTTAATAGTGTGTGGTACTCAGGGTCTGGTTAGGGATGTGGATGTCAGAGTCTCTAGGGAATAGTGATCGTACTGCGATCTCTTTCGCCATGCATGTTGGGGGAAGAGTATCAAGCAAATGTGACACAAAACCCCTAGATTTCTGAAGGGCAGGCATTCCTTACATGGGGAAACCGGTTAGAAAGAAGTTGAAAGGAAAGGTAAAAAGAATCCAGTCCCAGACTCTCCAGAGTGCATGGAGCCCGTTTAAAACAATGGCAACGGAAGTGTATACTGCAAAGAAAGAAGGGCTCAACTAAGCCCAAGAGGGTGCTGGCACGGTTAACGAGCGTAGAGAGGCTTTAAAGGGCAAGGAGGGGTCCTTCCGTAAATGGAAATCCTTCCCAAACGAGGAAAATAAAAAGGAACACAAACTCTGGCAAAAGAAATGTAAGAAGATGATACAGAAGGGAAAGAAGGCCTTTGAGGAACGTATGGCCAACAGTATAATGAAGAATAATAAAAGCTTCTTTAAATATGTTAGAAGCAGGAAACGTGCCAGAGAAGCGGCTAGCCCCCTGGATGGTGAGGGAGGGAAAGGGGAGGTAAATGCGAACTTGGAGATTGCAGAGAAATTAAATGGATTTTTCGCATCTGTTTTCACGACAGAAGACCTTGGGCAGATTCCACTGCCCGAACGGCCCCTCCTGACTAATGAATTAAATCAGATACAGGTTGAAAGAGGATGTTTTAAACCAAATCAATAAATTGAAGATCAATAAGACACCGGGCCCAGATGGCATCCATCCAAAGGGTTATTAAGGAACTGAGGGATGAAGTTGCCGATCTCTTATCTAAAATATACTTGTCCCTTAAAACGGCCACAGTGCCAGAGGATTGGAGGATAGCACA